TGTGTGTGTGTGTGTGTGTGTGTGTGTGTGTGTGTGTGTGTGTGTGTAAATACAAATATATATTATATATATATATATATATATTATATATATATATATATGCTTTGTCTGTGGTTGTGTGTGTATGTGTGTGTATGTGTTTGTGTTTGTGTGTGCTATATGTGGTTTATTGCGTTATATATCACACTGTGCAAGATGTGAATCCAACCCTGGGAGGATTGTAGGTTTGGTGGCTTTTGCAACCAGCATACCGTGGTCGCTTGTCGACTTGTCAATACTGTATGAATTAGAATAACCTTCGATTGCTATAATTGATGTGTCAATGTCGGCAGGCCATTAAATCCACGAAAGGGCGGGCTGGGGACAACTTTGAACCATGCGCTGTGCATGCACATATTAAAATGAAAGTCTGAACGAATGTCGACCGTGTTGTATGCGAGTTCGAGCGTGCAGCTGGTATATTTTGATTCGAATCTTGCACAACATGCACAACGGGCTCCCAGTATATCGCTTATCTATCGATTGTTACAATACCCTACAGGAAAGTACAATTAACGGCGAATAAGGGAATGGTGCCACCCACACGCGTAGAAACTACTCCCATAGACGTTGTGCGTTGGGGAGAGTACAAAGTGACCGGTGTGATAAAACGAGGTGTCAATTCGGTCGAGATAAATATTCGGCTTCCAAATCCGCATATTCAGATCGGAATCAAGCCAGGTATGTTGTTTCATATACCCTGTAGCTACATGCCTGTTGGCTTCCCACACTAATTTAATATGCCGCGAGCCATTTGTCGGCGATTCGCCTCTCAGTTTCATTCCCTATCTTAATTCCTTCGGCGGTGTGATAATATCTTTCGGTTGTGTACAGGTTGTCATGTTTTCCTCGGACGACAAATCGATGGCAGGATCGTATCCCAGCCCTACACTCCAGTCACTGATGCACACGGGACGCTTGTGTTCTTAATCAAAAGGTATGAGGGAGGCTTAGTGTCACCTTGGCTGTACGATCTGCTCCCCGGTAATACTGTTCATATGAGAGGCCCAGCGGGAGCATTCGATGTCGACTCGTTCATGTATGGTATGTCCCTTGTATTCGTCCGCCTGATTCCGAGTTTTCTTCGGTTTGAAACTGGACGTTGTACCTTGTGGGAATCATTCGGTACCGTATGGAAGCACATGGTATACCTTCCGACGGCGTGGCGTCCGTTGGAGATGGCCACTTTCTCTCCATGCCCTATCGTCAACTGCACTTGATCAGTATTTTTGTGTGTGTGATGGAAACTGAGTTGATTCAAAAGTATTCTTACACCGCCATGTTGTGTGTTCCCAGGTACGAGCAAGTTGGTATGCATCGCAGGGGGCACCGGTATCACAGCGATACTGCCCATAGTCAAACACATATTGCAGGCGACCGGACGCGCAACGCCGGCGCAGGGTGGAATTTCTATTGCTGTATCTGCTTCTGATGCGGTAATGCCTTGTGGATATGGGTACTTTCGCGTGCTCATGGATTTGTATATACCTTTTGATTGTTGAAGCTAGTATTCACCTATTGGTGGGTTGCAGATGGGAAACTCAATTAGGGTGACCTCCATTCAGAGGACGATACTCCGCGCGTGCCATCTACCCGACTATCTACCGAATTGTTCTAGTTACGCACTATTCTGTATGCGTATTTATCGCTTATTTCGCCCTGTCCACCTGGAGGCAAGCATGAATGTGGAGACAATACTGACTTGTTTTTAATTTTATTTCAATAGGAAGGTCCGACAATCATGGTTAGTGAACCACTATCTATTGTTCTGATACATTGTGATAAAACGAGGGAAGAAGCACTCATGGTCCCAGCTGTTGAGATGTTGAAGGATTTTAGTGGAAGTAGATTAAGCGTCGTTAACATATATAGCGAGGTAAAGCGTGCTTGTGTTCGCTCACGATATGAACATCTTAATTTTATTTGCATTGATTTTTCGTGGCATATATATTCGAGTGCTATTTCTAGAAGCTTGCGTGGGTTGTTCACTCGCATCAAATTTGTTTTCTGTTACTAAAACAGGAAATGTCAAGGGACGAAAACGTCGTCACAAGTCGTCTGACATCTCAAAGGTTAGCGGAAATATTGCAATGGGGGCATGGTTTCCCCGAAGTACACGCACCTGGACTCGTTGCAAAGACTAAATTCCTGATATGCGGCCCACATAGCTTAAATGAAATGCTTAGAGAAGCACTGATCGTACAGAGGTTCGGTGAAGATGACTTTTTCGTATTCGAATAATAGCAGTATAAACTTTAGATAGCGATCAGTACCAAATGTAGTATTTGACAGTCCTTCGTTTTATTTATTGAATGGTCGCAAATGCAGCTGCCTGAAAATCAAAGCATGAGCCAAACTGTACTTATGTTACAAACACATATAAATCCAGTCTGCTTGAGCGCCCTCTGGCTCTGGTTGTGTCTACCCTCTGTATCTAATTACGAGCGATATTGGGCTCTTGTGCCGAGTCTAGTCACAACGATTGAGCTGAAACTGTCGATTTTCTACCTCTGTTCTTCGCGCTCACGACGGCGATCCTCTGCCATGCGCTTCCGCTGTCTTCTAACGACTTCTTCGCGAGTTTTAAGTTCGGTTCTCTGTGGGTGTAAAGTCGGGTACAAATTTGAGCCTTAATGCGGAGCACAAAAGCATAGAATCTTGGTATTGATATACATGTATATTTGTACATATTGAGTACTGTAACGGAATATGCGAACTATTAAGCTAAAGAATGTGAACAATTTAGCTAGTTGTTATACGGCACGACGTAGTGCTTTCAATTTCAACACTAACTATCATCGAAACATGCTTAAACCATACATGGTATGTATTTCGACTTCGCTATGTATCAATGCCATCTGCATATTCAAACAAGCAGGTTAGTGTTCTAAATCGTGTACTTTGATTTCACCATAAATTATAACATTTTGCATTTCAATATAAACATAATACCGGTCCTACACAGCGTACCTCAATTTTTATCTTACTTTGAATCAGACCTTGAGTAGCCGACGAAGAAACAATGAGCCAAGAGAATATAAAGTGTACACATAGCATTAACATACAAACACCTTTTTATTGTAGAGCTTGTCCTCACTATTGCAGACCGCTTTCACGCGTTGCTCTTTTCGCCACGAAGCCCAGCCTTTGGAAATATTAAGGACCATCTTCAAATTAGGATACGCAAACTCAGGAGGCAGGACAATGATGGTTGTGGTGGTTTTGCGTTGATATATATATCACGATTATGAACACTTACAGAGAATTGGATTTCTGAATTTGTAAGCATACCAGAAGTCCCGGCTTTCCACATCCAGATTCTAAAATCGTCAAGCGAGGAAAACAATACGCTGGTTACATTACTGGTAAAGTAAACAATGTAAAGCATTTTCATTTCAAACTATGCTCGAATGACTTCAAGTTAAATCGGATGACGCAAGAGATGATTATGATAAGATAAAGATTGACCAATTATTATCATCTGTACGTTATTCGTCATTATTTTATTGGCGGAAAAAGCTTAAAAAAGGAACATTTTAAATTTTTATGTGAAAAGTAAAGTGTTGTGGTTCTTGGGATCTCCCTCTCTCGCTCGCTCTCTCTCTCTCTCTCAGAGTGAGTGTGAGTATGAGTGAGAAAATCATAATGTAGGAAAACGAAAACCGAAAAAGTAAGTCTGATACATGCATATCAGAGGAAGTTTCACATTATACAGCAACACAGATTTACTTATATATATAAGCGATGCACGCCGAATACAACTTGTGCGGTTTCAGCTGTTGTTTGCGTTCTCTCCAGCACTCGCTTATGAATCTCCAGCATGACTTCAAACAAAATTCGTGTCGGTCGCCATATTCATGTGAAAAGTTGAATAAGAGATGTGAAAAATGCAATGTCAACATATTGTAGGTGTAACACAGGATAAAATATACTTATAGACTTATTATAGTCGTCATAGATATTTAAGTAAATCTTAGACACCCACCATACCACAAGTACTAGCTAACGGGACTCGTCCGCAACACAATCTAAAGTGCAATTGGCTGAATACAGGCATACAGCTCGTGTAATCGAAATTTGTTTGGAGTGGATATATAGTGCAATTATACTAAAGTAAAAATACAAGAGAGGTATAGTATGCACGTCCATTAGTCTGGAAAGAACAACATGCAAATATTTATCCGAAATATGTCTTCCGTCGCTAAAAGGTGACAGAAGTGTAT